TCTAACAAGAAAATTAAAATAAGGAAAAAAGACGAAAAATTTTCTTTTTATTTTTTATTAAAAAAAATAAAAAAAAGAATAATAGAATTATTATTAAAAGTTTAAAAAGGAACTTTTTAATTTCAAAGGTTTTTGTTATTATGGAAAGTACAGAAGAGCCTAAAGAAAATATTTTTACTCAAACACAATCAAAAATAGAACAAAAGTATCAAATTTTTATGGATAAAATTACACCGTTTACTAAGACTCGATGGTCATTATTTATAATTTGTTTAGTTTGGTTTATGTATCGAATGGTTCATTATCATAAATATTATGTTTATGCATACGCTTCAGGAATTTATATTTTATTCCAGTTTATTGCATTTTTAACTCCAATTAATATTGACACAAGTGGAGAGCCATTATTACCTGATGTTACTGGGGTAGAATATAGACCATTTATGAGAAGGTTATCAGAAAAGAAATTTTGGTTTGTTTAATTAAAAAGAAAACAATTAATTCTTTTTGAAAGTGAAATTAAATAAAAAACTTATTTTTTTAAGGGTAAGAAGCTTTGGAGTTGTCTTTGGTTCATTACTAATGTCATTTACCAAAATAGATATTCCAGTATTTTGGCCAATTCTTTTAGTCTATTTCATTGTTTTATTTGTAGTAACAATGCATTCACAAATTCGTCATATGATTCAACATCATTATATTCCATTTGATGTTGGAAAGAAGACGTACAATAATTAAAAAAAAAATATTTTTAAGGTTTAATTAACATCAAGTTTTAAAGTGTTAAAATAAAAATGAATCAATATACAATTCCTCCATTATTTCTTCTGTAAATAAGAATTGGAGAACAACCAGAATTTAATAATACTTTTTTCATCTGAAATGAATATTTACTTGGGTTTGAGCACATTCTTTGAGTACAGTTTTCTATTTGAATTGGGAAATATTGGAAATAATTCTTAAAATATAACACATTTATTAACACCAAATCATAATTCTCTTTTTGTTTATATTCTAAGTTAAATGTTTCACTAAAGAATTCTAAGAATTCTAGTATATCATTATAAGACCCAAGAATAAGTTTATTATTTATAAATGGTGGTTGTTGTTGATCAATATAAAATGCTTCAGATTTAGTAAGAAAATTAGATATCCAAGAATAATGATCAATAAGGTCTAAGTGATAATATCCTTTTCCAGGATCTTCTAACATTAAATAAAGTTTACTTCCGTCAACTGTTTTAAATATATCATTTAATAATACTACATTATGAATATCTGATAAAAATACTCTATCATATTCATTTGGTAAATCTTTAAGATATTCATATGCCCATATATTTCTTGCATTATCTGCATTCCAAGTATCATTATATTTTGTTGTAGTAATTATTTCTATTTCATATTGATTCATTATACGAACAAAGTCTTCATTAATCCTTCCAATAACAAGAACTTTAGCAGTAACTTTTGGTAATACTTTTCTCATTAAATTCATTTCATTTTCAATATCATTTAAATATTTTTCATTAGTTTTATCTTTTCTTTGAAGTTCTTGGTATGAAAATAATATTAAATCTCTTGGACTTTCAGGTTTTCCAATAAATATTGCATTACATTCATTTGAGAATTCTAATTCATTTAATTCAATTAAAGGAACAGAACTTCGTTCAATATCAAAAACTTTTGGTTGTGCTAATAAACGATTGTATGAAAATTGCGGATAAAATTTCGTAAGTTCTTTTGGTTTTGAAGAGTATATAAGAAAAAAAGTAATAAAAAGAAATCCATATAATAGCCAAATAATTTTACCAATATGTCCTACTCTACCAACCATTAAACTCCAATATTTATTAATTATTTATTTTTAGTTGATTTTTAAGTTTTATTTTTAATCTGTTTAAAAAAAAGAAAGGAAGTTTTATGTTTGATATTAGCATTAATTATTAGGGCACTTATTATAACTTACTCTAATTGTTATTTAACGTTCTACTAAAGGGTTGTTACTAGTTAATGCTTTTTATTACTTTGTTAAGTATCAAAAACCAAACTGATAAACATATTATATTAATGATTAAATTCTATTCTTATTGAAGTCTTATGAAAAAGGTATTTTATATACATTTAATTCATTACCCTGACTTATTTCAATAAAATTTCAAAAACTAGAAAAAGGAAAAAAAAAACTGAAAAATTCTAATTGGAAGAATAAACCTATGAAGACCCTCTCTATTGTTTTAATGATATTATATTATGTATTTGCATTAGAAACTAGTGAAAGTGATAATAGTAATGATGACTATACTAATTTAATCACAATTATTGTTATGTCAGTTGTATTTGGTTCTTTAATTATTGTATCAATATTTGTTGCAATTGTATTAATTGTTAAGCAAAGAAAAACAAAAACGGATGAATATCATTCATTAGATTAAAGAAATCAAAAACAGAAAAATTAAAGAAAATGACGAATGGTATGTGTTATTCATTGAATTGTGTTTTTGTTTCTTTATTGATTTTACTTTTTTTTAACTTTTCAACCTTTTGAAACATTCAGTTATATCCATCCTAATCGATGTCTATTAATAAGATCTTTAATCATTGTTTCAGTATGTGACATTGGTTTGGGATCATCATTTACTCTTCTAACAAATAATGGGAAAAATGCATTTGTGGCAACCCCACAATGATTTCCTCCTCTATAAAGTCTCATATATCCATCTTCTCCCCATTTCCAATCACCCCAACTATTACGAATAATATAATATTTTTGTCCTTCTTTAGTTGTACCATAACCAACAAGATTCATTGCATGACTTAACCCTCTTCTTGTACATTCTTCATTATAATAAATTCCTCCCCTATAATGTTTGAATAATTTACTTCTTGTATCTAATCCTATTCCTAATACTCCAAATTTATGTATTGCACTCATTAATGCTCTTTCATTTCCACGAGGTACTAATGCATACCCACCTAATGTTACTTCTTTATATTCATTATTAAACTCTTTGCAGTCTTGTGTTTCAGCTTCATATGGATACCTTATTCTTTGCATAACACCTTTGGTTCTATTCATACACCTAAATGATCTTTCCATACTTCCACCTTCACATCCATTATTTTCAATACAACAATCTAATAACTGTTGTTCACTTAATGCCCATGTTCTACCAACGTCGTCTACAGTAAGGTTGTAGTCAATAAGATATCTAGATTCTAGTGCACAAACACTAGCGAAACTCCAACATCCACCACATCCAGTTTGTTCTCTAATATATGTTAATTTACCAAATTTTCTGAAATCAATACCTTCTGGTAATTCTTTAACAATATCTTTTTTTTTATTAAACTGCCATTTTCTACCAATTCTATATTTTTTAGGTACATGAACTTTTCTCATAAAACGTACTCCACGATACTTTTTTCCACGTACTTTTCTTCTCATTTCTCTTCCGTATGTTTCTTCATCTTGACTAAGGTTATACTCCATATAAACATCATCTGATTCATTTTTGTTTTCTTCTTCATCAGTAGACATCATAGAAAATTCATCTTGTCGGTCCATTTTCATTGAAAACATTTGATTAAATTCTTCATCAGTTTTATCTGCAAACTGTGTTATTCCTAAAAAGAAAGAATGTGGTTCTTTATTGAATTCTTCTATTTCTTTTTTACTCTGTTCAAATATAGCTCTTCTTCTTAACATTTCTGAAGGTGTTGAGTATACAATTTGATTTGCTTTGAGAAATTCTTTAAATTCATCTCCAAAACAATTAACAAAAAACATTAGTATAACAACATTAATAATGTTCTTCATTGGTATCTTTTTAATTCTTGAAATTATAACTTTTTTCAGTTTATTTTTGAATTATTTGCTCATCCATTTATCTTTTTACTATTCTAAATATTATATAAAACTATAATTTATTATTTGTTCTTCCTCAATTCTGGTGAAGATAAGAAAAACACAATAACTTAAAGTAAAAATTATAACAATTTATGAAAGAAATTCATGAATAAATCAATTCGTTAAAGAAAAGGTGATTTAAAATAAGTTGTCATCATCTTGTTTATCGTCTTGAATAAATGAAGAAATGTCAATTGCTTTTGGTTCTTCTTTCTTTTCTTCTTTAATTTCTTCTTTCTTTTCTTCTTTTGGTTCTTCTTGAATAGATT